CGCCACCGCCTCCGCCTCCGCCGCTGCCTCCGCCACCGCCTCCGCCATTGTATCCTCCTCCCATGTTGCCACCTCAATTAGCTCTATTACGTATTACAGTTTAAACGTTAAAAGTCAGAATTGCTCAAATATCAGGCTTTAATGTCAGGAGAGTGAGCTTTTGACAGTTATAAGCAGCCGAAAATTTACCATAAGTTCCGCCGCCGCCGCCGCCGCTACCGCCACCGCCACCTCCACCTCCACCTCCACCGCCGTATCCACCAGCGGAGGCATATTGGCTGGAAAAATGGACGTGATAATAGTACGAAGTAAAGGTAAAGAAAGTTAAGCTACTGTAAGCTGCAGGCGGTACTCACCAGTATGCCGCCAAAAGAAGACTTGCTATGGCGAATCTCCGCATTACTGAGGAGTATGCTGCAGACCATTGCTAGGGTTCTTATACTACTTTTGCAAAGGTCATCTGCTTGGTAATCAAGTTTTGCTTGGCGCTAGCCAACAGATAGGTCTCGAACTGTTCATTATTACACATTTCCATCCATCTTACCGACGTAAAACTGAAATACCATTAGAAAATTGCGACTTTGGTTGTCTAAGGTCATAGTTATTGCAACTTCAGCGAGCTCTTCTGGTCTGCCGGTTTCACTTTCCAGAGAGTTGTGCAAATTGCATCTTGATGTTTTACGTTTTTTTCGAAAGCTGTTGAAGCTGATAAAGTAATGGCAAAGAAATGCTCACGGTTACGAAGTGAAGAGGGTGTAAAAGACTGTGTTTTTGGTGCTCAATCAGAATAGAGAAGTGCTATTTGAAGTTTGATTCTGCTCTTAAGATGCTGTGAAATTAACCAAAAGATAAGAAAGAAATTCTTCTCATCCCTTAAGTATGTCATCAAAGTTGCTAAACTTTATTCAAAGACTGCTTAGCTGATTTGTAAAGTTTCTTCTTGCTTTTGCTTATCCGTCAAATAGGGCGGTTTGCAATCATTGTTTTGTAAAGAAAATTTTGCAGAAAGACGTCATTTTTTAAAATAACAACTTCTCAAATAACAATCTCTGTTTGATTGCAAATTTGTAAATACTTTATGTCTACCTTATTGAACAATAAAATTTTTTGATAATCAGAAATATATATTGGAGCTTATTTGGAGGTATATTGGGGTATATACTCTTCAAGTTTAGCGGCGCCGTAATAGTATCGATTGCAGAGTTATACCTACTATTATATCATCGGAAAATTTGTTTTTGTGTTCGTGATTTTGCGATGTTTTTTAGGGGTCGGTCCTAAGGTTTCTTCGTTTTTCTTCTATCTTTGAATCTAAACATACTGTTATTATTTTACCCTTATTTCAAAAAACAGATTAAGAGTTTTTCAGCAGTATCTCAGATGTTATTGTAAGGCATCGAAATCCAGATACTTTGTTAAAGAATGTGTCTTAGTTTGTCAAAGATAATAGCTATAGTTCAAATGAAGTCACTACAAGGTCTGGAAAGGTCGGTATTGAATGGAGAGCACTGATGCATAGTTCGCAATAGCAAATGCGTGCGAGCTCATAGGCTAGTAGGATCCTGCAGAGGATTGATCTT